TTAAACTTTTTTATTCTGTTTGCCATCTTTCTCCCCCCACCCCCACTCTGTTTCCAGCCAAAGAAAGCTGAGCTTCTCATATTACATTAATGTAGTTGTGATGACAGGCATTTCTGGTGTCATAATTGGTTTTAAATTCCAGTAATCCATTTCAAATCATGAAATAAAATCTGTGTGTTCAATTGAAATGGCTAAAGTCAGAACTTTTGTTATTGATATCACAGGAAATAGTCTTGTGGGCAAAAGTGTGAGTGAGATCAAAATAAATATTAGTAGCATCAAAGGGACCCAAATGTTTCCCTGTATCTTCATGTAGGGGATGAGAGAGTATTTTTATAATACATGTATCCAGTGGTGAATTTCATAAACTGAGTGCCCTCCTCACAGAAACAGGAGATGCAAACAATAGTAGGACAAGGGGAAATGGGTGCAAACTGGAACACAAGAGGTTCCACTTAAACTTGAGAAGAAACTTCTTCTCAGTGAGGGTGACGGAACACTGGAACAGGCTGCCCAGGGAGGTTGTGGAGTCTCCTTCTCTGGAGACATTCAAAACCCGCCTGGACACGTTCCTGTGTAACCTTATCTAGGTGTTCCTGCTCCGGCAGGGGGATTGGACTAGATGATGTTTTGAGGTCCCTTCCAATCTCTAACATACTGTGATACTGTGATACTGTGGTGCACACCCAGAGCAGTAAATGGCAGCCCTCTGATCTGGTGGTTAATTTGCTTCTTTCCAAGGGACAGCTCCTGCCCTGCCCTGAGCAGCATAAATGAGTAGCAGGGTGCAGACAGGACTCTTGGGCTACCATGGCTAGCTTGGACTATAGCTGGGGCTTGCCCAGGCTGGGAAGAGCAGGCTGCAAGCATCTCCTGCTGCCAGCATGCTCTGCACATGTCTTGGGTGATGCTGTCTTTACAAAACATTTGAGATAATTAAAGGCCAAAAATTTACTACATCAATTTCAACAAATGTATTTTGACTTTCTTAACAATCTCAACTTTGATTTGCAATTGATTTTGTAAACATATGTTAACACAGAGAACATTGTGTTTCTGTTCCCAGTGCGAGTGATTGTAAAATGTTCCATGTTTTCCTTATAAGAAAGATCAGAATAATGAAAATCATGTACTAGGCTATATATTTGAAAATTGAAAGATAGACATTTTGCTTCCTGTGAAGCATCACAGCAGCACCTATAAACTGGCATTCCCTAGCAAGGGTCCTAGCTGATGGGAAGAGGCTGGGCAATGATCACCATGACACCAAGGTGTGCACCTTATAGTGCAAGGCCTGAAGCAAGAGGCTCACTGAGGAATGAAAGCCCCTTGCCCCACCTGGTCTAACCCTGTCTGGTGATCGATCTAGACAGAGATGATGGATAAAGAGAGAGAGAATGAAATTGCGATTTTTTTTTAGTGAAATTAGGCAAATAAGATTAGGTTGTCTAATTCATAGTGGAATGATGGATGAGGAAGAGTTTTAGATACGTCTTGCATGTGGATACAATATGAGGTTTTGGTAGGTTTTGCTATGAATGGGCTGAAGAACACAGAGAGTCTGATTTACATGAGAACTGAACAGCAGCAGGGTCCTTGTGTTCCTAAATGCAGTAACTGGGAATTTCAAGAGGAGAAATTCCACATGGCAGTACTTTGAATGCCATGGTTACACTTCACAATCAAACCAGGTTGGAGTAAGAAAAGAAGAGACAATTCAGAGCCGGAGGCAGGATAGGTGCAGCGAGAAGCTGGGGCAGATTGAGAGTGAGAATACAGTCTAAGTGAAGAACTGTAGCCTCTTGAGACTGTGGTAGATGGATCCTAGAAACTGAACAGTTTATAAGGGTATGTGACATTCAGAGGTGGTTATTCCTCACCACACAGAAGCTATGCTGACCTTTCTGCATATTTCATGACAAATGTATAAAGTTTCTCATGCCAAGAGAGCAGCATGTGTGTGTTAGGCTCCCCAGACTTGATCCAAAATTGTTAATTTTTAAATGAAAAAATATGGATTTGGTCTTCCTCTTGATTTTTGACTCATCCTATCTGCATTCTACATTATATGTGCCTGTATGTTTGTGGGAGACAGAAATTAAGAAAAACTTTTTAGCAAAATTATCATGTTCCAACTACAAATGCTGTTGTTACTTTATTAAAGTTATCTTTGAAAAAGCGCCACAGAATAACTTAAAATCTCAACCATAACTCCCTTCCCCCTCACCAGTCCAAATAACTGTACATTTGAACTGAAGCTTAGGGTTAAACATCAGAATTAATAAACTCCACTGGGATCTGTCAGCATTTCCAAACTTCGATAGAGCATAAAATGTTAAAATTAACTAACCAAACCTTCCTGATCATGTAAAGGCACTAGTTCCCATTGAGATCAACTGAGTAAATGAAATTTAAACTGCATTTTTCAAGCTGTTATAGAATAATGGCAATTCACAAAGAATTTTCTAAACTCTCTTGAATATATATATGTGTTTGTGTATGCATGTCTTGAATCTTTATGTTCTTGTTTACCAACATGCTTTGTTTAAGGTGGGTGAGGGAAATAACACCTGTGATATATGGCATCCAGACAGAAAGTAGATTTGGGGTTTTCTGATGTGACTTTTTTTTTTTTTTGGTGGCTTTATTTGGTTTTGTTTTGTTTTGTTTTGTTTTTTAATGAGCGTAGACAGATATTCAAAATCTCAGTCAACTTCAGGCAATGGCAGGCATGAGCACTGCAGCACTCAAGATTTCTAGTTAGTCATTTTGAAAATTTGGTTTGTTTCAAAAGTTAAGCAAACTCTCAAAAATTACAAAAAAGTGTTTTGGGGTTCTGAATGGGTGTGGTCTGCTGCACAGAAAACTTGCATGGAAACTAATAATTTTATTTCTTGATGGCCTACTGTGAGCACCTTGTGTGAACACCTTGGCTTGAATATGTTCCCCTACATTTGGATGTAAGACACTGGAACCTAGATTCGGGTGTGGTCCTATAGCTTATAGGTATAAGTCTATTCCTTTTATACACTTGATCTCATTAATAATTTTATAAATAATAATATTGACAGCATGAAATTAATGGGTCCCCAACATGAAATCTGAATCTGACCACTGTTAAAGTTTGAAAAAGATCTGCTTTACATCTGAGCAAAATTCTGTAGCTCACATTCATCTTGAATACACATGAATATGCACTTCCCCCTTCTTACAGGTTCTGTGTTGTATCACAACCTTAGTCATCCTGTTGAGGACCAACAACATCTCTCTCTTGGAGACCACCCATGCATTTTTTTTCGCCCCTGATCCTGCAAATACTTAAGCATGTGGGGAACTATGCTTTCAAGAGTGACCCTTTGAAGTCTACTGGGCTACTCCCAGGAGGACAGTTACATGCATTTTAAGTACGTGCCAGATTAGGGCCTAAAATGTCTAGCAAATGACCACTATGAAGCCATCTGAGGAATGGTGTCCACCTGTAGTGTGCCTGTAGGCTTTCTACAAGGCTTAGTCAGTAAATGCTTTTGGCTAAAGACAAACAGGAAGTTGAGCAAATTAATTACTCAGAAATGTGTATTTCTTACTAATTTCTTACTATATTTTTAAAATTACTTAATTCACTAATTTTATTAGTGAATAAAGTGTCAAATTACTCCACTGAACAACACAGATCTTAATTATATTCTAATATAACCTTATGGCATCATATAGTTTTAGAGTTATTAATGTAAAACGTTATATTTGAAACAGAATTTTATAGATTTATATATATTTGCACATAGTAGAGAAATAGGATAGATTATTTTGGACAATTATGCAGACTCGAAGAGAGCACTTGTGTTTAACAAACAGCTTTGAATTCCAATTTTCTGCAATATACATAGTGTAGGTACAATTTGTAGTCATTACTGTGTACTAGGAAAGTTATTAAAATTCTTAAACTCGTCGAGACTTTCCACAACACCTTCCCCAGTTTTTAATTGCTTTTATCTAGTTCCATAAGAGAGCCCTTTAAAACAAATCAAAGTGCCTTAAATCACATGTCTTACCCATTGAAGGACAGAAATATTCCTTCTGTAATCTGGCAAGTTTTCCTAAGAATTGAAATCTGAAGGTTCTCAACAATCAATTAAAAGACTTGGAAGAAGATAATTTATGTGCCTTTTGATGGGTTCAGTTTCAAAATGACAAAATAACAATGTTTCATAGCAGAAGGGTTAAATCTTAATCTCGGAGGTTTAGAAAGCTGCTAGTTGCAGTCTCCTTAAAATTTAATATACCTCGTTAATGCTTACTTGCAAACACTGAAGGATTTTTATGATTATAATCATGTGTTACAGCACCTAGTACTGTTTCTAAGCAGCATACTAATCAGCTTAATGAGATATTACTGCACTTTTTGTTGACTAAAGCAAAATCCCTTTTATTGTTCTAAAGCTTGTCCTTTATTTTTTCCCAAAACATTATCTTGTTTTATTGTACACCAGTAAATATCATACCATCGTTTTTTTGTCAAATCATAAAACTATCTTTCTCATTGTAGAATATGTAATATATTGAATATGGTTAATGGAACTGAAAGTTACAAATGGATTTCTATTTTTTATTTTTTATTTTTTTTGCTGGCTTTTCTAATGGAAATGGGAGAGATGCATAGCAGCTCTTTTTCTATATGTTTAGAAATGTAAACAGATGCAGTTTCACAAGACAGACAAAGGAGGTAGTAAAAACCTTTGCCCCTTCCATAAGAATTAGATTTTGAAATTGTAGTATGTTTTAAAATAGTAATTAATGGTTACTGACAAGCATGCAGAATGATGAAGGCACTTGTATGGTCAAAACTGTGTAGCACAGTTGGTACTTAATACACTTTTTATTGTTTTTACACTAATTCCTTTGCATTATTATGAGTAGGTAAAACATAAAATGCAAATTGTACTTCAGTGATTCAATGCTTGTAACTCTCACAGTCTTAATCTAAACTATCTTCTGGTTTTCAGAGATGGAAGAAGCTAGTTTGTGCCTTGGTGTTTCTTCAGCTGTGCCAGAAGCTGACGCCCATCTCAACAGCACCATACTCAATGGACAGTATTCAATGAGCCAGAAGCTGCACCAGATCACTTCCCAGCTCAGCCATGCCTTCCCAGAGCTCCAGAACAGGCAGAATCCAGAAGAGAAGGCATCAGCACCACTAGAAGACAAAAGCCACATGTCCATAGCAAACCAGCCCATCAGCAGTCAGATGGCTCTGTTGGCCAACCAGCTCAATAGAGAGGTTGATACCAGTTTGAATGGGCGCGTGGACCTGCAGCAGTTCTTGAATGGGCAAAACTTAGGCATTATGTCTCAGATGAGTGATATAGAGGATGATGCCAGGAAAAACAGGAAGTACCCATGTCCTCTGTGTGGAAAACGCTTTCGCTTTAACAGCATCCTGTCACTACACATGCGAACTCACACTGGAGAGAAACCATTTAAGTGTCCATACTGTGACCACAGAGCAGCTCAGAAAGGCAACCTGAAGATACACCTGCGTACTCATAAGCTTGGAAACCTTGGCAAAGGTCGTGGAAGAGTCCGAGAAGAAAACAGACTTTTACATGAGCTGGAGGAGAGAGCAATTCTTCGGGACAAACAGATGAAGAGCAGCCTCCTGCAGCCACGACCCGATGTGAAAGCACAGCAGCATGCCCAGGCAATGCCTCTTGCAAACTGCAACTTGTCTGTGCCTGCTAATCACAGCACACCTGATATTTCAAACCCTGTTCCCTCTCCAAAGCCAGTCAGTGTCCAGGAAGAAGTTGTCACTCAGACAGCTGGGTTTAGATGCACGTTCTGCAAAGGCAAGTTTAAGAAGCGAGAAGAGCTGGACAGGCACATAAGGATCCTGCACAAGCCTTACAAGTGCACCCTGTGTGACTTTGCTGCCTCACAGGAAGAGGAGCTGATCAGCCACGTGGAGAAGGCTCACATAACTGCAGAGTCAGCCCAGGGCCAGGGCTCCAACGGGAGTGGGGAGCAGTCTACCAATGAGTTCCGTTGCGAGGTGTGTGGCCAAGTGTTTAGCCAAGCCTGGTTTCTAAAAGGCCACATGAGAAAGCACAAGGATTCCTTTGAACACTGCTGTCAGATCTGCGGGAGGCGATTCAAAGAGCCTTGGTTTCTTAAAAATCACATGAAAGTTCACCTGAATAAGTTATCTGTAAAGAACAAATCTCCTAATGATCCTGAAGTACCTGTTTCTATCAGCAGCATGTCCCAGGAAGCTCATGCAAACCTATATTCGAGATACCTCTCATGTTTGCAGAGTGGGTTTCTTCCTCCTGACAAAGTGACTTTAAGTGAACAAAATCAAATCTATAACAAAGGAGATATGCCCATAAAGGAGAAAGAAGTGTTGGGGAAGCTTCTTTCACCAATTTCTGGTATTGGCCACAGCATGGCTGAAGGGGATAAACATTCTTTATTGGGCTGTCTCAATCTGGTGCCTCCTCTGAAATCCAGCTGTATAGAAAGGTTACAAGCTGCCGCCAAAGCGGCAGAAATGGATCCAGTAAACAGCTATCAAGCCTGGCAGCTTATGGCAAGGGGAATGGCCATGGAACATGGCTTTTTGTCTAAAGAGCAGCAGATACAGCGCAGCCATGAAGACACTTTGGCAAATGCTGGAGTTATGTTTGATAAGGAGAAGCGGGAGTATGTGTTAGTAGGAGCAGATGGCTCTAAGCAGAAAATGCCTGCTGATTTGGTTCACAGCACTAAAATGGGCAATCAGAGAGACTTGCCAAACAAACTAGACCCTTTAGAAGGCAGTAGAGATTTTTTGTCACATGGTATGAACCAGGGACTCGATTTCAACTTACAAAGTCATGGAAATGTGAAAGAAAAGCCAACCGAATGCCCAGACTGCGGAAGGGTTTTCAGAACCTACCACCAAGTGGTTGTTCACTCCAGGGTCCACAAAAGAGACAGGAAAGGAGAAGATGAAATAATTCAAGGTGGTCTTGATGAGCGACGTGGATCTGGAAGTGACCAAGAGTCTCAGTCTGTCAGCAGGTCGACAACACCAGGGTCCTCTAACATTACTGAAGAAAGCGGAGTAGGTGGGGGTCTCTCGCAGATGGGAAGTGCCCAGGAGGATAGCCCACATCCTTCCTCACCCTCCTCTTCAGGTAAGATAACTTCTTCTTCCCTCTCTGCACTGAAAACTTTATAGATATATTTGAAATTGCAGCAGCAAAGTAGTTTATGCAGTCTCTTGTTAGGTCATTTCATAGTGGTCTACAGGGGTGTGGTGCTATATGCCTGAACATCCATGTGTGGGTTCCCACAGTGCCTTCGAGGTGAATTCTGGGCTCACCGTTTCTCCAAAGGTAGGTTTCCCATCCTTTCAGCTGTCACCTCTGCCACCCTGCTGGCAGCAGTGTGCGGGGTCTGAGCAGTCACCAAGAGTAATGTTGCTTCCAGGGCCTCTCCCACTGGGTTTTGGAAGGGCTTTTTTTTTCCCTCATGGTGTCTCTTTTGCATATCTTTCTATGCCCTTCATGTAAAGGGGTGAGGAAAGATGCCTTCTTTGACCCATAGTTCAAAGAGCTAGGATTAAAAACAGCATGTTGGCCAAACTTTCTGATTGCCCTTATTCCCACAACTGTATCAATTACTTAGCTATGTACCTGGTGACTGGATTGATTGAAAAGAGATTCAAAATATAAGTTACTAACTTATTATAATCTTTTAACGTTTTTTCACATTTTAACATGTACGAAGCCTTCTGCTTAATTCTCATATATTTGAAAGTACAAGGAAAATAGAAATTGAACTGAAACGTTTTAATTGCATTGTACGTCATGTTAACTTGCTGTGTATAAAATAGCAAAACAGATGATAATTCACTGGTGATGTTTATAAAATATTGAGCTTCCTGGTACAATTTTTAAAGTTACTAGCCCATGACTGCTGAAATAAAATCTTCAGATAATAACAGGTAAGATTCCTGGCCTCATGTATATTTCCAAAGTCAGTTGGTAATGGATAGTAAATTGAAAGTTATATCTTCAGCGCTTTATAAAGAAAGCACCTCACTAATACTGTAATCATTCCTCAAGCCTAACAACAGAGGAAATCATGCCATAACAAATGCTCTGTTACTAATGGCAACATTGATTTCTGCAATCAGCCATTAAGTCTAGAAAATGAAAGACAGTTTGAGGTACCTTAAGGCATTACACTGCCCACTGTTAAAGAGCTGGTAGCAGGCTGTTGAGGGTAATTCTTTTCAGTTCCCCCCCCCCGTTTCGATAAATATTTTAGTATTGGAAGCAATTCACTGTTACAGTTATTAAGTATATGCCAGTTTATTTTTGTTGTTCTTGTCATGCTCCAGTATACTCTACTTCTGAGGCCAAATTGATATAAAAATAAAGTGTTAGTTTGCTGGCTTATTACAAACCAGTAAAGAAATTGTTAAGACACATAAATCTGCACTCCACATTCCACAGATTCCTATAGTACTTAATGCTGTTGTTTAAATACCCATGAAACACACTGTCTACTCTTAGAGTCACAGCCTCATGTACAATTTATTACTGGTGAGACACATTAGAAAAATCCTATGTAGGAATAAGGGTAACAGGCGAGAGCTAATTTCGTACTATATATAGTTGTTGAGATTGTTTTAAGAGGATTGAAAATATGTCAGGATGAAGACGATTATTTTCTAACTTTCACTTTTAAAAATCCTGCACATTGAGGGGGAGGGAGGGAGGTAATGGGGGTTGGACTGCTCCTCTTTAATATAGAAAGCATCACTTTTGTTTGGCAATGCCATAGAGGGATCAGAAAGAAAAGATCCTGAAACTCTTTAAATTCTGTCCAAAGACTTCCAGGGCTGTCTGGAAAAGTTTGAGGGAAAGAGAGCCCCACAGTCTTGATAGAGATTGAAGAGGATTCAAATACTGCATGTGAAAGTTGGTGCAGTAACAAGTGCCCTGAAAACCTTAATTCCAAGTGTACTGGTTCATTAAGTGTATTGTTATGGGAAGTTTCTCCTGTCTTCAAAGGCAAAAGATTCCCCCGCAGTGTTGTTCTTTCTTTGGCCACTAATTTAAAATTATTTTTAACTTAAATGGCAATTTTCATTTTCACACCTGATGCATTTATATCAAAGCATATGAAAATATGTGGAGTATCAAAGCAAAATATATGGAATAACAGTCACTAGAAGCACGTTCTTTATTACTGACCTTTTATATTAATATCTGATTATCTCCTTTTGTCTGTTACTAGTAAATCTAGGAAGGCTCTCAGTGTCATGAATCCTATCAGGGAAAGTGTACATGTTTTTATAACTTCTTAATCAGATGAAAGAAAGAGGGTATTGAATTTCACCAGAACAAAATCTAAGTATTCTTTAGTACTTTAAAATTAAATTTTACTGCCAGGTTGCTGTGGAACTTTTCATCAGTATGAAGTGTGTATTTTATTGCTACCTGTGAAAAATAAACCAGTAGAATATAAAGAAATCAGATTTTTTGCCAGGAGAGAATTAAGTAGTCATTGAGTCTTCTATTAAGAAATTACCGCAAAACACAGTTTTACAAATTTCTCAGACTGCATAACAATGTCTCAAAACTTAATTTGCATCACTTGATTCTTTTTTGTTGAAAACTGGGTCAGTAGGGCCTGAGAAACTATTTTTTCAGATCTTAACCAATGAATTCTTCTTTATAAATTGGTGCTCTTAACATGATAGTAGTTCTGAATTCATCATAAAAACCTTTTTACACAGTGCCTCTTAGAACAGATCTCCAGAAGAAGGCTTACAATGAGTGGCAGAGAAGGCTTTGTTATCTGATGTAATTCTTTGCAAAGGAGGATTGGGAATGGAGTGCCTGTTTAAAACTGTCTAGCTCAGGCTGAGAAGAAGAAAGGGTCAAGTTTGCAATCAAACAGTTATTGCAGAGATGTGTGACTGTCACTGGCTGGGCTAATGTGGTATGCAGCTGTTTGTTATGTGAGTAAAAGAATGTTTGAATCAGTGAACATGTGAAAATGACTCCAGTGAACCAGAAAATGTGTTTGTTCTTTAGCTCTCCAAACTGCTGAGAACTAAGCTTAAGATCAACTGCTAAAACTAGGACCTTTGACAAATTGAGAGGTCATATTTTTTAACAGAAATGAACGAAACTAGTCACACACATCATTTCCCTGTGTTTTTCATTGTTTTATCTTGTTTTTTTGTTTACTTTTGTGTGAAATTATGAGAGTCAAATAAATGTCATTTCTGTCTCCACATAGAATACAAAGGGAAACCGCTGTAAAAAATATGTGTCTCTGCACTCTTCCTTATGCAGACAGTGTTGTGGATGGGGAGATGCTGTTGAGTTGGTTCTTGTCTAACTGCAGGCACCCTTCTGAAATTAATTTTGCAGCATCACAGCAGAGTGCAGTAAAGCAGGGCCAGATGTCCAGTCTTACTTCTAGTCCTCTTATTTTAAACAAAAGTTGTATTTGTACCAGTTTTGTTTAGGAATTAATGCATAGAATAATTAAAACTTAATGTGGGAAGAAATGATACTGTTCATTATATCCAGCAGGGTAGTACCTTCTGCATTTTCCTGTAATTTTGGTGTGGGGATAATTGAAGTCTTGATAGTATGAAGGGGGTAATTGAATGCACTGACCCTCCAGTTCATTAAATAAAGTAGGCCAAGCTCCATGATCAATGGAAAGCATGGGGATTAAAAAAAATAATAATAAAATACTGTTAGATATAACCACTTATTCTTGTATGCAGCATTTCATGTGGACTTTGGCCTAGTTTGTTTGATCAGCTGTTTTGGAATCTTTCAGACATCTTTTGGGGGGTTAAAATAAGGTTTTTTTGGTAGAAAAGCTTTAGGTATTAGATAGCGTTTCAGCCCATATTTATGTCCTCTGACAGAACACATAAAAAGCTTTTGTAGTGGCCACCATTGCACAGACATAGGAAAGACAGTGATATGATACTCTTTTGCTTTGTCTGTCTTTGTCTTTCTCTCTTTCTTTTTTGCTTTTCTTTCTTCCCTTTTTCTTTCTTTTTCTTTTTTTCTTTCTCTTCCTTTTTCTTCCTCTTTTCAGTGATAACCATCATCTGCTCATTGTGAACAAAACAGGCAAAAAATTTAAGTCTGAGGATTAAGATCTTCATTTTTTTGCTTGTGCATTCCAATTGTTCTTAAAATATTTGGCAATGTCAATTAGTAACTGAGCAGAGTTAGCTGATGAACACAATTTTCCACTAGACTGAGCACCCTATTGTTGTCGAGCTAACAGCAGATTTCTGAGGTCATTATCATTCCCTGGTAGCTTGGCCCAGCTGCTTCATGCTGCAAAAGCCAAACTTCAGACTGGAGCGGTGGGATGGCATGCAGCAACAGGGGGCTGTGAGGGGAGGGTTGCGGTGCGCACAGTGAGGCTGCGATAAGGCATTAGAAACTGAGGAAAGTAAAAGTTTCTAGGTGTTTCCAGGGAAATCTGCTTTCCAGCCTGGCTTCCTGCTCCCTTTCAGCCGCCTTCTCTACCTCAAGGACTGGTTTAATTTCTCTAATTGGACAACTGTGGAAACAACAGGAAAACATACTTTCTGTCAGTCCCTAAAGGAGGACTTGAACTAGCCCACTGCCTTGATGTTTCCTTGGGCAGGTGTTATGTTTTGCTTTGATTTGGTTTGCCAAGCAGGGACATGGGGAGAGGTAGGGGAAACACTTGGGTTTTTTTCCCTCCAGTGACTGAAGATATTTTACCTTACAAAATAGCTGCAAATACGGAGCTTGAGAACTGCAGGCAGCTAGCACTGCTTTGGCAAGTTGTCAGTCCTGGAGGATGGCACACAGAACTTTCATTGTGGAAATGCTATTTAATATAGGCGTTTTCGCTTTCTGCCTTTTTTTCCTTTTTTTTTTTTTTTTTTTCCTCTTTTTGTCTTTGTTGGCCTCATTTGGTATCAGGTTCAGTGAGATGCAAAGCTGCACTTTTTTAAAGCTCAGCTGTTATAACTGAGCGCCATATGCAGCCTTTCAATCCCTGATATGGAATACTGTACATGCTGCTCCATGTTTGTGAGAGATTTACAGGAGCTTGAGTTTGTGTGTATTAAAGCTGTGTACATCTAGACATTTGGGAAAGTGCTTAC